AAAAACATCATACATAAACAATTAAAATTGAATCTTTTATTTCAACATAAATAGTTGTTGATATACTGTAAAGACATTTATGTGTATTTATAATATGTCACTGAGATTTTGTTTTGTGTGGCTGTAGACTAAGGTAAAGATAGAAGGCTGTGATTGGTTGGGGTGAGGTAAACTCGCTGTTATGATGGATTAGTGCGATAGACACACCCTGTGACATGCCACATAGATTTTCTCAGCAGATTTAGAAATAATTTTCATGATTCATTTGGTAAGAAAAGGTAAAAGTGGGTGAAGCTTCAGGAAAATTATGTCCTGACAACAATGATTGGCACCACAAGAGTATACACAGTCCCACTCCCTTCACTATAGCAGCTACAGATTCATGAAATACTTGCGCTGCTTGTGAAATTTTTTTTAGTTACTTTGAATTCCTGTCGATGGAGAAAGATGCTTTTGCCCATAGAATAGTGTAATATCTACCTACAAGAGTTATTTAAACCTTGCTAACCAGCCAAACCTTGATTTCTTGATCTAAACCAGAAGCCCTTCAACTCTCATTCTGCTGTCAGTGTTCTGTAGACATGGTGCAATTCCAAACTCAGCCACTAGGGAGTGCTAAAAACCGCCAAAACTGGAAACACAAAACAGTCTTGACATAATGTAATTAGTTTACCGCTAGCACATGTTTTTACTCAGCTTTTTTCCATTTCAGCTCTCGCACGGTTTTCAAAACCTTTGTAAAGCATCTGTGTTCGTCTTCAGAGCTCACTGTCTTTACACTCTACACTACATTTCTCTCAGTTAATGCTGGTTGAAATTCAACATTTGCAGTCATCCAACTTTACGTTTTTTTTTATTCCAGATTGTTTGAAATTTCTCAATTTCTCTTTATTACTGTAATTCACAGTTTTGCAACCGTTCCCACTGTGGCGTAGTGATACATGGATGTGGTAGGTTGAATTATTCGTCTTTGTCTTTTAAGCCTATTAAAATATAACAACACCTCATTGTCTGTTTCTAGTCCCACTTACCTGAGTACTGTTTATGTAAACAACTCCCTCCTTCATTCCAGCACCTTGTACTTACAAAGAAGACTTTCTCATTCTGTGAAACATTTATCCAAAAGCAAACAGATGTTATGCCTGCTTTCACATTGCTGTCACTCACGAGCCAATTGTTTTTCATTAATGCTGTTATATTTACCCCCTGGTGCCCCAAAAGGGAAACCAGTTGTGGTGCAATTCTCCTGCTTAAAGATCCGTTTTAATGACAGTCACCTGTTTTTGCCTGCAGGACACCACACCCTTTTTTCTTATTACAGGAATACAGGCAGTGTGCATGAAGGGTACTCTGTTGAATTACCAGAATTATACTCTGCAAAATTCATGCCTCAAGCCTGCAACAGCAGGTCACCTAGTTAGCTGCTGGTTTGGGCTTGTTTTTGGTCATGTTACACTACACACCGACTCATATGAAAGTGAGTGACATGCATTCCAGGAGTCACTGATCAGAATGAACATGAAGTGGTAGAAAACCTTCATGGAAAACTGTGGGTTTCTTGTGTATTTCCCTATTTTATATTCTCCTTTTATTTATTTATTTATTTATTTATGAGTAGAAGAAATTTACTAACTATCATTAAGATAATTATATTATTAATCAATAATTATTATATTATTCATAAGTCATTGTACTTATCAATAATTAATTGCCCTTCTCACTCCTCCCATTTATCCATGTTATGATTTTAATCATTTATTAGTTTAAGTGGCTGTGTGTTTTTTTTTTTTGAGAGGTGACTAAAGGTCTGACACATATCAGGACTAACCGTATTTACTCCTTTACCGTGGCATCTTCCAAAGAACAGATATGCAGTTGTGCTGTACTTTGTTTATTGATTTTTTCATTATCTTGTGTTATATATATAATTTTAAAATGTATTTTATTCCTGTGATTTTTTTTTCCAGCAATCATTACTTCAGTGTCACATGATCCTTCAGAAATAATCCTAATATGCTGTTTTTTTGGTGCTCATGAAACATTTCTTATTATTATCAATGTTGATAACAGGCTGAGCTGCTTTATATTTCAGGATTCTTTGATGACTAGAAAAGTGAAATGGAAATCTTTGATCAACTTTTAGCAGTTTTGCTGAATAAGAGAATAAAAATATAAAAATCTAGTAGGCTATACCCATATTATGCTCATTCTCCATGTTTTCCCCATTTATGCTGTAATCTTTTTTACAATATTAAATTACAAGATTTTTCAGCTTTGTAATTACAATACTGTTAATAACTTGCAATATTCCTGTAAAATGCAATATTTGTTGCATTTTTCATGTCTAAACTGTCATGTCTTATCACATATGTTCATGTGAACACAGGATGTTTGTTAAGTTCAGCTTGAATTCGTCTTCAGAGTCTGTCTGACCAGAGGAGAGAATCCGCCCTGCTAGTAACAGTCATTGCACTTTTATATCTAATCTTCACTATAAACGAGCACCACGTCTACTACTGTCTGTCTACAATGTAAGTGTCCAATTTGAATAGTTCTATGTTACGACAAGCCACTTGCTATCACTCTACCAATTCTGTCAGTTTTCCTTCAGCAAGAAAAAAGACAGTTAAAAAAGCAAAGGAAAAAAAACGTGATTTAGCTGTCTTTAGTTTGCATTAACCTGTATTAAAACAGGAGAACTGAAATTTGCCTACAGTGAAAAGGGGGAATAAAAGATGCCAGGACATTTTTTATGACAAGTACACAAACTTCTTGCCTATAAATCACTCTTGGCATGAACATAACACACCTAATGAATATAAATACCAAATGTTGAATGTGTTTGCCATAACCTTTTAGGCTAGTCTTTCTTATATTATTGCACATCTTTGGGAAGCTGCCAAATTTAGTTTAAAGGCACTTTTATCCAGGAGTATAATCTTTTATAATCTTATAATCTCTAATAATGTCGTTCCTGTTGATTCATAGTTTAGAGATCACATATCTTGAAAAAATCAAAATGTTTTTTCTTTGTTCAAAAGAACATATATTCATGTAATGCTATTAGGAATGTAATGCAATTCCATTTAGGTACTTAATTTAAATGAATTATATTACAAATCTGTATGGATTTTTTTCAATTGAAAAACAGTTTAAAATTTTTTTTAGACTTTCCTCTTAAGTTGTTGTTTCTTTAAAGGGGTCATATGATGCTGCTAAAAAGAACATTATTTGGTGTAATGAAATGTGTTTATGCGGTTTAAAGTTAAAAAAACACATTATTTTCCACATACTGTACATTATTGTTTCTCCTCTATGCCCCGCCTTTTTGAAACGCGTCGATTTTTACAAAGCTCATCGGTCTGAAAAAGCGAGGTGTGCTGTGATTGGCCAGCTATCCAATGCGTTGTGATTGGCCGAATATCTCAAGCGTGAGACAGAAATGTTACGCCCCTCACATACTGTAATGAGACGTCAACAGAGTGAGGATCCATCTGCAGATTTATTGAAATCGTAATCAAACAGGCAATGTAACCAGGGAAGTCCAAGAATCACTGGGTTATGTGGTGAAGTGATGATGTAGAAACGAATGCTCTCCCTGTGAAGGGTCCCGGTCTCCAAACATAAGTCCACGGTGGTGTGCATGACCCTTCCCTCACCCAGAGGACGTCCATCTAGCGCCTCCACTGCCAGCAGAGAATTGCAAGGGATTAGAGAAATGTTATGTTGTCGAGCGAATTCATGTGACATAAAATTCCCCGCTGCCCCTGAGTCCAATAGCGCTGAGGTAGATATGTTATTACCCTCAATGGATAATGTTATGGGTACTTTTATGCATGTACTGGAGTGATGTGCCTGAATGCAAGGACTCACCGCAGAGGGATTACGAAGAGGCGGTCGTGTGGGACAGGAGGCCCCGAGATGGCCGGCTTGGCCGCAATAGAGACACAGACATTGAGTGATTCGGCGCTCTCGCTCCTCTTGAGACAGGTGAGTGTATCCGAGCTGCATGGGTTCCACAGAAGAGGAGGAAGAAGACGTGATGGGAACTGAAAGAAAGGAAGAATTGAAATCGCATCATATGACCCCTTTAACTATGATGTTAATAATGCAGATATTTTGATCAACGTAGTATATTTGCGTACTGAGGAAGTGTGTATTATTTTAAAGTGTGGAGGTCACACAGAAAGGTTTGGTTGCAATAGGATGACTGCAACTCAGATGGCTGAAAGCCAGCAATACGTACCCAGCAGTGAAGTCTTGGATTGTTATCTTTACAACAATGTACAAGTTAGACAGATCAGCCCATGCCTTTCCCTCCAGAAAAGTACAATATATGACCAACCAATGGACAAACGTATGGAGGAGGCTACAAGGCTACTTTAGACCATGTAATGAGTTTAAAGGGTAGTTGCTTTTGCATTTTTGCTGTAGATAGCGGGGCTCAAGTCAGCATTTAATTATTGGGTGGATATAGAAATTGCAAAATATGCAAAATATACTCATGCAGTGCATGGTTACATGCACTCATAAAACATTATACACTATTTTGTGCAGTTATAATAATTCTTAATATTTTGGCTGGTCTTTAATTAGTTTTCTCTTATTTGCTGAGCCTGGATCTGCTGTTGCAGTTTGATTTCATTTAAGGATGCAAAAGTAAAGTAAAAAGTAGAAATGCTTCATGGTGTCTTAGCATGTTCAGATTTGAACTTAAAAGTAATATGTACTGTAAGATTTGGAGTATTCTGAGAATTTCCCCTTTGCTCAGGGATCGAAGTGAAGCAGTTAATGTATAACAGTGTGATTGTCCTCTGGACGTTCAACCTCATAATTCTCCATACATATCTTGAAAATTGTTTCTTGACCAATAAGCTGGCCTTGAGCCACTCCCTGCACTAGATATAAGAGTCTGAGGGAACGACAGCCATCCCACCTTTTGAGTTTCCAACCCCTCAACTCTCTGTCCTCTCTCACTCTGACGGCTGTGTTGTCTAGAGATGCTGAACTCCAAGAAAACCGTGAAGTCTTTCAGCAGTCACTCCTCCGTAAGTGTGAGCAGGAACAGGAGGACCCCCCTCACTCGTTCAGGGATGGTTTCGAGAGAAGGTTGGGGCTCCAGTCCAGCCATATGCTCTCCAATTACAGCTGTAAAGGTCAATGAAAGTCTTCTGGCACCTCTGAACTTGGAGATTGACCCGAACATCCAGGCCATCAGGACTCAGGAGAAAGAGGAAATCAAGACACTCAACAACCGCTTTGTTTCATTCATTGATAAAGTAGGTTATCTCCTTTTTCATCCTGTCTTTTTTTAACATTTTGTGCGGACCTTATTTTTCACATCAAATGAAATGTATTGTGTTTGGACCTGCAAGTGTGGCTCGTATGCTGGTGTGAGGAAGTGATGTGATTGTGATAACAGTAGGCCCAGTTCTATCTGTGTCATATTTTATCAGGACCCCCACTTGACTGACTAACCTGAAGGGACAATGTCCACCCTCTGTCATAAACACACCTTTGTCGCTTTTTGGGCAATATCAGTTTACTACCTGGTGCAATGGCCACTCCCTTATACATGCTTTTATAGAAACTCACCTATCAGAGCACACACAACTAGCTTTGAACTTACATAATCTGTTCAATAAAGCACAGAGAGACTTTTGCACATTAAGAAGCATTTAAAAACTCATTAGTAAAAATGCACAAAATTAGCGTAGAAACAATTTTCACTCAAAAATTGCAAAATGTAAATTTCACAAACAATTAGAAAGAAACAAAAAGTAACAGACTGAAAAAGTATATATATATATACTTTTTCAGTCTGTTACTTTTTTTTTTTACTCACACACACATATTACTTTTACTCTCTCTCTCTCTATATATATACCCACACACACACACACACACACACATTACTTTTACTCTCTGCAACTCTGTATACACTGGATTGATTTTAAAGGGGTCATATGATGCGATTTCAATTTTTCCTTTCTCTTTGAAGTGTTACAAGCTCTTGGTGCATAAAGAAGATCTGTAAAGTTGTGTAAAGTTGCAAAGACTAAAGTCTCAAATCCAAAGAGATATTCTTTATAAAAGTTAAGAGTCAGCCACACCTACCTAAAACGGCTCGTTCTAACACACCCCACATGTCTACGTCACGATGTGCGAAGATTTGCATAACACCGCCGAAATGTTCACGCAAAGAAAGAAGGCGTAACGTTTATTCTCGCTGTAGTATTGTTGTTGCCATGTCGTGAAGACGCTGTGTGTTTTGTTGTGAAAGAGAAACTACTTTGTTTGGTCTTCCAAAAGAGGACGATATCCGCTTCGTCATGCCTAGAGCTGATCCGTGCTGGTCGCTGAGGAAATACATCAACTTAGCGCTGTGGATCGCCGGATCGGCTTTCACCGTGGACGAAGCGGAGTCCAGCCCGGGGTCGTCACATATGGTTGCCGCAAACCAGCCGGACGCTCCTTCGTCGAATCCGCCGGCCGTGCCGTTCTTAAGCCCGCCCGCCTCTGCTCACTCAAGCCGGCCTCCGCATACTCTAGCCGCCGGCCTCTGCTCACTCTAGCCCGCCGTGTGTGACATTGTGTTTCGTTGTGAAAGCGAAACTACTTTGTTTGGCCTTCCAAAAATGGACACGACTAGAAATCAGTGGTTAAGTTGTATTTACAACACTGTTCCAGAACACTTCAACCCAAATAGTCAGATGTGTGCAGCACATTTTATGGAGGACTGTTTCCTGATCCTGGTAGAGTAGACTACAATGCCGGCTGTTCTGACTCAAAGACTGTAAGTAAGTTTTTTATATTTAAAGAGTTTTTATAAATTATATTTAAAGCGAGTTTTTTGGGCAGTGTAGAGTAGGGCTTGTTGTTTGTCATTTCTCCGATCACAAATGCAGACAAGGTTTTATGTTTACGCGGCGCGATGCAAAGCAAC